CATCAGGAAGGGGGGCTAGGGAGGGGTAAGTGGAAGGAGGTGAGGGAGGAATGGGGTACGAGCCCCCGATGGGGAGGACTGGGCTGGCTCTGTGAGCTCCTCGGGGTGGAAGCTCTCCTGCAGGTCCCTGATTGTCCCCCCCTGGATGGCAGCCTGGGGCAAGTGCAGCCGGTCTGATGGCCGAGTGCTGTGATGTGCCGAGTGTGGGCACTCGGGGCACTCCAAGCCAGGACTGCTTTGCAAGTGGGGAAGCCCTGAGAACTGTCTGTCCGGGGTGGGGGTCGGGTCCCTTTAAGCACAGCCCTCGGCTAGCCTGAGACAGCAGCTCCATGCTCTAAGTCCTAATCTGATGCCCTGCCGGCACTGCTTCCGGCCATCCTTAACCTCCGTTCAGGGTCCACTCAATGTGGACATGCTATTTCGAATTAGCAAAATGCTAATTCGAACTAGTTTTTAGGTCTAGATGCACTAGTTCGAATTAGCTTAGTTCGAATTAACTAATTCGAATTAAGTTAATTCGAATTAGTGCTGTAGTGTAGACATACCCTTATTCCTCTTAAAATCAGGAATAAGGGATCTTTCAGAAAAGGCTTTATTTTCTGAAAGATCCTGTCTAGACTGGCACTTTTCTCCGGCAAAGCCCCGAGCCAGAAAAAAGCGGCAGCCATGTTTATACAAATGAAGCGGGGGAGATTTAAATCCCTGCTTCATTTGCAATAACGATGTGTCTAATCTGCATCCCTTTTCCAGAAAAGGGGTGCAGTGTAGACACAGCCTGGGTCTTTATTCCCACGCTGCCCTTGCAGGTCTGCCCGTTTCGGAACATGCTCTGCTCCGCCTGGTGAACGGCTCGAGGCGCTGCACTGGCAGAGTGGAGGTGCTGTGTAATGAGCAGTGGGGAACCGTGTGTGATGTCGGCTGGGACTTACAGGACGCTGGAGTCGCGTGCAGGCAGCTGGGCTGTGGGACGGCGTTGGCAGCTCCAGGCGGGGCTTGGTTTGGAGAAGGGTCTGGTCCCATCTGGCTGGGCGGGGTTAACTGCACAGGGACAGAAGCTGCCCTCTCCGAATGTAGGGCCGGGCCTTGGGAAGTCCGTGCCTGTGCCCATGGAGACGATGCCAGTGTTGCGTGCTCAGGTAAGCCTTGCCCATGCCACATGCAGCACTGCGTGGTAGTGCCATGCTGCAGGGCGCAGAGCAGTGTGGCTAACTGGACAGTAGCTGTTCTCGCTTCTGACTCAGCCTTGACCCTGATGTCCTGGACCGGCCTCTGCTGCTGAGAGATGAAACCGAGGCCCTGCCGTTCACTGTGTCATGGCCTGGGCCCAGCAGGCTGGGTCTGAATCCCAGGGGGGCGAATCCATTCAGCCTGAGATCCTGGCCCGGGCTTTCAGCTGGATGCAGGAATCTCCTCACTTCCTGTCCCAAGCGTCTTTGCTTTACTCCCCGATGTCTAAGGCAGTGCTAATGCTGAGAATCCCTGGGCAGGTCCCACAAGGCCCTGGGGTGTCCGCAGGACAGGAGAGCTGCCAGCGTTTCTCATGGGTCGCTCAGCACCCCAAGGGCCCGTAGGCGCCAATACGTGTTTCCCATCAATCTGTGTCACTGGCAACATCTTCCCCGTCTTCCCAGCCCCCCAGCCACGTGTGCAAACAGGAATTAGTTCAAGGGCAGCCTGTTTAATGGAAGTTGGGCAAGGGGATCGCAAAGGTCCCATCTGGTATTATAACCTACCTCACAGCCCTTCCTCTGTCTTTCCTCCCACGCCAGGGCCTGCTATGTCCCTCGGAGTCTGGCTTCTCCGCTCTGCCCTGGCTCTGCTCCTGCTGGTGTCTGCCCCCATCATCACCCGCCTCCTGGAGAAAGGAGCCCCCACTCTCTTGAAGTCCCTGAGCAGGGGCAGTGGCCGCAAGGGGCAGGCTGGGGAGGACCTAGCCACAGGAGAGGAGTCGGTTATATATGTCAGTGAGTAACTGTCATTTACTGGGTAATTCTGGCAGCAAATCTCTGGTCAGCCTGAAAGAGGAAGTTCGTATCCATGCCTCAGATTCGAGGAGACCAGGAAACCTCGGCCACCCTTCATTATCCATCTCCCGAAAAATCACTTGTTCCAGTTCCTTGAAATTGGGGGAAAGATCCCATCTCTGGCTGATGTTTGGCCCCTCAGTGTTGAAATCCCAGAAAGATTTGTAGCTGGAAGGATGGGCCAAAATCTCCCCACAGTAGGACACTGTAGGTGAGGAGCAAATTTATCAAAATCGGTAACGCAAAGACAGCTTGAGTCATTCTCCTCAGACTTTGCCCAAGCAATCCTCTGTCCCTCCAAGGAGACTCTGCCCAATCGGTTTCCGCAAGCCAAGGGGTGGGGCATGAGACGTAGTCTCCTGGAAGCAGGGTGCCTGGTTTGCAGCATGGTTCGGCTGTGAGGAGGGGGATTTTGGACTCTAAACCGAGACCTTAAATCTCCCCTGGGCCAGAGCAGAGACTGGACAGCTTGGAATCCGGCCTGTTTGAATCCGGGTCTGCTTTGGTGGCACTGACCTGTGGCTGTCCGAGCGCCACTGTCAGACTGTCCCACCTGTGGGGAGCAGATGTGATGCTCTGTTGCTGAAGGGTTTGTACAATATTTCAGAGCTGAGATTCCTTCCTCCGTGTGCTGTGGGGCAGAATGTGCTCCCCAACTGCTGAGATATTGGGGAAATTAAAGAGGAAGCTGTTACCGTGTGAGGAGGAACCGGCTTCTGCGGAGAGGAGGGGGACTGGAGGGTTCTCGCTTTAATGATTTAGCTCATTCCATGGTGTCCTTGGCTCAACTCCATTGCTTCTCAGTCCCCTTCCCGTGTTTCCATTCACAGATGTCTCAAGTTTTGTGTGCCCTGAGAGACCTCGGCCAGAAATGTACGGACAGGGAAGATGCCAGCAAGACGGAGCTGCTGTGTGGGAAGATGGCAGCATCATCTCCTAGTGTCCAAACGCTCCACCCGCGCTGTCTCTTGCACTAATGTGTGTGAGGGGCCCATGCGGAATGGCTGTGCTTATCCCTCAGGGTGAGGAGGGCAGGGCTACAGCAAATATCCTGGGTGTGGTTTAGTGGCCGGGCACACACGGAACATGGCTTATTTTAAATAAATGCAGGAAATACCTGGAACAGCCACTTTTATCAGCTGTGTCACCTCCTTGTTACAGGCTCATGAGCTCGCCTGGGTGCACCGCTCCCTCCAATGGAGAGACTCGGTGTGGCTCTGCTGTGTGCCTCAAATCCTGCACTAGGAGCAATTGACAGTCTCTTTAGCTCAGAGACTTGGTGTTGCTCTTCCTCCCACAACAGGGGCTCTGTCCATCTCACCAGGGGTGAAAACAACTTACAGCAAGTCCAGCCCCCTGCCCAAAGTAGGACCAACCCCAAAGAAATCAACCCAGCCAGGGCTTTGTCAAGCTGGGACTTAAAAACCTCTAGGGATGGAGATTCCACCACCTCCCTAGAGAACCCGTCCCAGTGCTTCCTCACCCTCCTAGTGAAATAGTTTTTCCTAATAGCCAACCTAGACTTCCCCACTACAACTTGAGCCCATTGCTCCTTGTTCTGCCATCTGTCACCACTGAGAACAGCCTTTCAGGAAGTTGAAAGCCCAAACCCCTCAGCCCCTCCTCATAGGTCATGTGCTCCAGCCCCCGAATCATTTTGCTTACCCTCTGCTATACCCTCTCCAATGCATTCACATCCTTTCTGTAGTGGGGGCCCTAGAACTCGAGATATGGCCTCATGAGAGCCGAATAAAGGGGAATAATCACTTCTCTGGATCTGCTGGCAATGCTCCTCCTAATGCAACCTAATATGGAATTAGCCTTCTTGGCTGCAAGGGCACACTGCTGACTCTCATGCAGCTTCTCATCCACTGTAACCCCCAGGTCCTTTTCTGCAGAACTACTACTTAGCTGGTTGGTCCCCAGCCGGTAACAATGCCTGGGATTCTTCCATCCCAAGTGCAGGACTCTGCACTTGTCCTTGTTGAACCTCATCAGATTTATTTTGGCCCAATCCTCTATTTTGTCTAAGTCACTCTGGACCTTATCCCTGCCCTCCAATGTATTTGCCTCTTCCCCCAGCTTAATGTCATCCACTAACATGCAGAGGGTGCAATCCATCCCCTCATCCAGGTCATTACTAACGATGTTCAACAAAACTGGTCCTAGAACCGATACTTGGCTGGCTACACAGTTTGTGCCAGTTGCAAGGTTTTCTTGGGTCTGTCTTGAAGTAGATGGTTTCTAGGTATTCGTCTGGCTCTTTCAATTTGCTTTTTTATTTCTCCGGGTGGGTAGTTGAGGTTTATAAATACTTGGTAGAGATCCTGAAGTTTCTGGTCTCTGTCAGTGGGATTAGACGCACCTGGGACACCTTGTTGAGAGAGAGGGAAAAAAAAGGAAAACGATAAGCTCCCTTTATCAATGAAAGAGCACAGAGATGACTCTCTTCTCCCTCTCTCCCAACGGTAACAATTATTTACATTTGGCTTGATCATATACAAAAGATTTTTTTATTAAATATAGGAAGTAGGAATGCAAGTGAAAACAAACAGTTCAAAGTAAGATACTAAATTAAAAGGAATAGAAAAGGCATAGCTAGTTCTAATTCACTAAGGGTATGTCTACATAGCTAAGTTATTTCAAAAGAACAGCCGTTATTTCAAAATAACTTTACCAGCATCTACACAGCCAAACCGCTATTTTAAAACTAAATCAAAATAGCAGAGGGCTTATTTCAAAATTGGTAAACCTCATTCCATGAGGAATAATGCCAATTTCGAAATAGCTATTTTGAAATAAGCGCTGTGCAGACTCTTATTTCAAAATAGGGGGCCTCCAACCTTTCCCAGGATGACCTGGTGGCCACTCTGGGCACAACCAAGAAAAATCCTCTCCCTCCCTTCCTCCCTGGAGCCCTTAAAGGGGTAGACTCTGGTCACAGCTTGCCAGCCCAGAGCCAGCAGTCGCTGCACCTGACCCAGTGGCCCTAGCATAAGCCAGGCAGCCAGTGCCAGCCAGCTCTCCACTGCTCCCCAGGACCAGTCTGCCAGCTTCCAGGAGCCTGCCAGGGGCCAGAAAAGGTGGGTAGCTTCCTGATCCAGTGCGGAGATCAGGGACCTAATTCAGGTTTGGGGGTATGCCTCCAATGATCTCCATGATATCCACACTAAATGGAGGAATGCAACCATCTACAGGCGGATGGCTGCCAGCCTGGCCACCAAAGGCCACATGCAAACCCAGGAGCAGGTTCAACTGAAGATAAAGGAGCTGTGGCAGGTGTATGCTAGGGCCACAGGGGGCACAGAGGCCCTCGCACCCACGGTGCTGGGAGACAGTTGGGCCAGCGAGACCTACAACCCTGAGCTTGTCCTCCCCCTTCCTCCCCTTGCCTCCCCCTGCCAGCTCCCTCCTTCCACCCTCCCTCCTCTCCTCTCCCACCCTCCTTCCTCCCCTCCTCCACCTTCCTTCCCCGGTCTCACCTCAGTTTCATTTTCCCCCATCTCAGTTTTGTTCAATAAAGAGTCTCTGTTATAATGAACACGTCTCTTTTATTGTACAGCAGGAAGGGGGCTTAGGGAGGGGTAAGTAGAAGGACCTGAGGCACAAGCCCCCAGTGGGGCACACCAGGAAGACTGTTACTGCCAGCAGAATGTGCCGCCAGGCTCGCAGCAACACATCGAGGAGAAGCACCAGAGTGTCCAGGGGCAGCTCCGGCTTCCATGCTGCAGAGTGCTGTGGTGGGAAAACCCTCAACTCTGCAGTGATTATGTAAAGGATATTTATCTGGAGTGAGTGAGGGCAACCAGAGCATGCAGAGAAAAAAATGCTTTTTTGTCCCTCAGCAAGGTAGGCAAGCAAGCAGGGAAACCTTAGAACTGGCTGTCCAGGGTAGTCCCTTTAAGCACAGGTCTCAGATACCTTGTGTGGCTGCTGCCTAAGGCTAACTCCTGACCTGATGCCCTGCCAGAACCAGTTCTGGCTGGCCTTAAATGTGATTCAGCGTCCTATCAGTATGGACACGCTATTTCGAAATAGCAAAATGCTATTTTGAAATGCATTTTGTGTCTAGATGTGTTATTTCAAAATAAGCTATTTCAAAATAACTATTTCAAAATAAGATATTTTGAAATAACGCTGTAGTGTAGACATGCATCTGACGAAGTGGGTCTTTGCCCACGAAAGCTTATGCTCCTACACTTCAGTTAGTCTATAAGGTGCCACAGGACTCCTCGTCGCTTATACATACCCTAAGAAACTTATTACCTGCATATCCTTACCCTAAACGGCTGTTCTTATTTCAAGCATAATCTTCAAGTCAGAGATCATCTTTTACTCCAACTTGGGTCTCTAGCCTTCTTTAACATTCCCTTTTTTCCCCCCTTAGCATGTGCCAGGCAATTTCCAAGGCCAGCCAATGATAAAGGGCTGATAGCTTCCCATTGCTTAAATAGACTTTCCACCAGGGCAGGAATCTTTTGTTTGGCATCCCCTCTTCCATGGAAAAAATACCATGTTTAAACTGGATTTCTGTACCAGGTGGTATGGTCACAGCCACCTCCTGGACTTACAGGACAAACAAGGCTGATTACAAGTCATTGAGTTCATTACTAAGCCATTAGACTTCCAGGGCACCAGTAATGGCTCTGATTAGCACATTTAAAATTATAAACAGATTTACACTTCATGTTTCTAACTTTACATACAAGAATGATACACGTACTGAAAAAGGATACACAGACCCAGCAGATTGTCACATTAAGATTGGTAGGTTACATACGGTATTTGGATTAAACGTCTTTGAGTTATGCATATTAATATTCACGAGTCAACTTTCTTAAAGCATGGGGGAGGGAAAGTCACACAGATAAAGACATTATCTGCTCCCAGGGTATGAGTGACAGCAAGAGAACCCCTGGGTATGACCAATGGACCTAGTAGCTGAGAGGTAGAAATGGAGGCTTTTAAGTCTCTGCATGCTGACGTGGCCCTTAGAGAGAGAGATTTTTATTTTCCCGAGGGCGGGGTACAGAGAGGGAAGGCGAGTTAAGAGGATTCAGAGGTGGGTTGAGTTTATAGGTTAAACTGATGCAAGACAGCTCTCATTTATTGGTTATAAGAATTGAGGCCATAGAACCCTGCATTGTATCAAATTAAATTGCCTCAGATTTGCAGGGGAGTGAGCAAATAGCTTTTTTCCATTGGTTCGAGTTAATAAAATGGTGAACTGCTTCTTAAAAACTGAGACCACATGTATGTTTCATTCTTCTGCATGGCCTCACCAATATTCTGTTTACATGCTAGTTTTTAGTTCTAGATGCGTTAGTTCGAATTAGCTTAGTTCGAATTAACTAATTCGAACTAAGTTAGTTCGAATTACCGCTGTAGTGTAGACGTACCCCCAGAGAGCAAGAGAAAGGCACTGCTAGCAAATTATTTCAGGATAACTTAATTTGAAATAACTCCTGAAATAACTATTTGGAAAGAGAGCGTCCACACTAAAGGGAACCCTCAAAATTAGTCTGAGGCAGGCTTCCCTAATGTGGACACACTATCTTGACTTAGGGTGCATCTAGACTGGCAAGATTTGCGCAAAATCTTGCCAGCTGTCTACTCTGGCTGCTTGAATTTGCGCAAGAACACTGATGATCTAATGTAAGATTGTCAGTGTTCTTGCGCAAATACACTGATGCTCCTGCTCGGGAAAAAGCCCTCTTGCGCAAATGTTTTTGCGCAAGAGGGCCAGTGTAGACATGGAAGAACTGTTTTGCGCAAAAAAGCCCCAATGGCTAAAATGGCAATCGGGGCTTTCTGGCACAAAATCGCGTCTAGACTGGCCACAGATACTTTTGCGCAAAAGCACTTTTTGTGCAAAAGCATCCGTGCCAATCTAGATGCTCTTTTTGCATGCATTTAATAAGAGCTCAGAGAACCAAAAGGGTTTCATGGTACCTGTAAGTGACTTACTAGTGTAATTTCTGTCCTGTCCTTTGTAGTGGCTGTGTTATCTGTAACATAGTAGTAGCATTTAACAGCTAAGTTTACCCTGTAGCAATAAAATAGTAACTGTTTAAGCTTTAACCTGACTCCTTCAGTTGCTGTAACAGAACTAAGCACAATTTAAAAGAACTTCAGCTGGTCATAAGGGACAGGTATAGAAAGAGCTTGGGCGTTTTGGATCATGTCGCTTCCAAGGGACAGATCCTTTGGGGCATCTCTCAGCCTCCCCAGGCTGCCCGCTGCGAAGGGATCGTGTATCCTAGCAGTAAAAATCTGAGGTGTAATAAGCTCTCCCTGTAAACTTCTTGGGGCGCCCGTCAACCTTCTTCAGGTTGCCCGCTGCGAAAGGACCCCGGTCCCAGCAGTTGAAGTCTCGGGTGTATAACACACACACACACGCACACACTGCCCTGACCATCGACTGACAGAGGCTAATGAAGGCGACCGAAATTACAAATGAAGCGTGGGATTTAAATATCCTGCGCTTCATCAGCATGTTCCTGGCTGGTCGCCATTTTAGAAACTGACGAGCCCGAAGTAACTGCCCGCATCTACATGCGGCAGTGAAACGGGATTCCGAATTAGAGCCCTAAATCGAATTAGCTGTTAAACCTCATTCCAGAAGGAATAGCCGCTAATTTGATTTAGGATATTTAAATCCTGCGCTTCATTTGCAATTTCAGTCGCCCTCATTACCCTCCCTAGATCGAACGAGGGGGCTAGTGTAGACATACCGGGAGTTGGAAAGGCCATTGGGCTGTACCACTCACCTGAGAGGTGGGCCAGGGGGGCTGTGGCAGTGAGAGGGGCTGTAGGGCATTATCACTTGCATGATCCCCTAGAGGGGAAAGGACTCATGTCCCATCCCTCAGCCCCTTACTGTCCATTCCCCTGGCCTGTGACTGGTCAGAACCTTGCAGATTAGGGTGGGGGAGGGGAGACTCTCTGATCAGGCACCTCCATCGACCCTGGAAAATCAATACCAGGGGATGGTGGGTATGTGGCTCTGTGTCTCTGTCGCACCGACCTCCCTCTCCTCCTTCGCTGGCTGTTCACTGGGTCTCGTTTCAGCCTGTTCTCCCATCCTCAGCAATGGCCAGCACCAGTTTGTTCTTAAGCCGCATCGGTCACTTTGTGCTTGGCTCATGCTTTGAAACAAGACATTTTATGTTCCTTCTACCCTCTCTCCCATCTCGCTGGATGGTTCTATTCTGCCAATAAATCTCCAGTCCCTCCTTTACACATCCTTCTCATATCTTGACCTCAGTGATATCTAGTGGCAGTGAGTCCCAGAAGCCAGTTCTTTGGAGTGTGTGTATAGAAACCTTTGATTGCTTTTAAATTTATCCCCTTTCAGCCTCACTGAATTTTTCTTGTAATATAAAGTTGGTGAATCTACATACCCCTTGCACTTCACATTGGCCAGATGTGGGACCTCCAATCTAGGGGGCTATGGAGTACATTTGTACAGCCCCATATGGGAGGGGGACAGTCTTTTGTTTAGTTTTTTAATGGCGTTTACTCATTCTTCCTGCATTTTGTCCTGAATTATTCTTCCAAGTATATTATTCTTGGCAACCAGTCTGTCAAATACATTCTTTGCTTTCTATTTCCCTCAAATTAAGACAGGTGCAATGAGTAGAAGACAATGAATAGTCACTAGTAGAAGGGTTTCTATCCTGGTCAAGTCTTTTGTCAGAATAATAATTCTCTAGATCCATATGGATTCCCTTCAAGTCAAAACTATCAGAAATGTGTTATGAAATTGCAGCAGTTATGAATCTAAACAGCCTGAAATTAAAACATTCCCAGCGGCAGTACTGAATTTGTATATCTTTAGAACTACCCTTAAAGTTTTAGTTTCATTTTTACTCTTGCATATCATAATCCAATGTCTTATTTGTATAAGCAGATATGCTTGGCCAAGGTGATAGATTTTTGATATGTGCTATCTAGGAGCTTGTTAATCTTTACACACACTGGATGGTCAAAGTTTCCTTCTCTCAGCTTCCTGCCCACATAGATAGAATCAGCTGCTTCCCAGAAGTCGTGTACTAGCCTCCAGCACCATGAACACCCAGGCTAAAATGCAAGACCACCTTGAGACTTCCTTCGACAGGAGTGTGGAAATCGAGATAACCAACAATTCACAAGATTTGACTCTCCATTCCCCCAGGTAAACACCCTCTGCAACTCCAGCCTCACAGCACCCACAATCTCTCTGCATACTATGTCTCCTGCATCTCCTCATGGCTCTTCCAACTACCGAGCTCAGCATTTCCCCAAAACTATTCTTAGCCCACCTCCTGTTCCTCCTATGCTAATTCATTTCAATCTCCAGGGCTTGGGAACTTTTGATGCATGAATGAATACAACACAAAGAAAGATTTTCAATGCAGGAAAGGTGGGAAATCAGACGCTAAGGAACCAGATTCAGTTTTCATTTACAAAGGTCAGAGGTGAAAATACCTTTCAATTTCTTACAGGTCCTGTCCTATTGCAACCCGGGTCCCTTCCAGCTCTTTAAATAGCTTCCTGCTAGCCAGTGCTGCAGCTCAGCCAGGTCTTGCTAGAATTGCGCACCAGGGCACAGTCTCTCACTTTCACCTCTGACAAAGGTGTGTCGTTGGTATTTCTGCTGTGTAATTACTGGGAAGACTCTGGGTTTATCCTGGGGGAACAGAACAGAATCTGGCCTTGACCCTATTACAGACTCCAGATTTACCCCTAGGTAACAGTGATCAGAATTCAACCTGGACCCCACTACAGAGAGTGGCTGACTCCAAATATTACACATGGACATTAAGATGAGAGTATGACTCAGATTTACTCCAGGGGATCTGAGCTCAAAAGCTGAAATTCCCGGGCAGTGATATTATCCAGCCAATTCTAACCCACAGTTAAGTGACTCGGAACAAGCAGAATCAGGTCATGTAGTCTGTGTGATTCCTTGTTCACAGAGAGCAATTGGTACACTTGGCCAGGCAGGCAGCTCACGCTGCTTAAGGGGCTTCATGGGTTGGCAGCGATTAGAGAGTGAAACTCAACATCAGGCAATGGGGAGCAAAGCAAAGGAACCGCTTGTGACAAACTGGGCAATCGGCCTGTGAATTCTGTGGCAGATTAGTTCTCTGTCTATACCTCTGTGAAGCTGAAAATTCCATTTTGAGGCTGCAACCTTTTGCCTTCTCTGTGATCCGTTTGCTTCCATGTTGGGCTGAGATTCCATGGCTAGTGGGAAAAGATTAACATGACAGTGTCCTTGAAAAGAGTGTCTGCAACCTGTCGCATGAGGAAAGGTTAAGAAACCAGGGCATGGTTAGTCCTAAGAAAATAAGATGTAGGCAGGAACTGATAACCGTCTAAAATATGTTACAAGTTATTATAAAGAGGGTGGTTCTTCATGTCTGTTTGAGGTAGGGTGAGAAGCAGTCAGCTTAATCTGTAGCAAAGGAGGTTTAGGTTAGATATTAGCAAAAACTTTCTAACTCTAATGGTAGTTAAACTATGAAACAAGCTTCCAATGGATCTTAGGATGTTGCACCACCAAATTCTTCATGGAGATATGCTTTTGAATATTAATATGCCTATCTCTCTCTCTCTCTTTCTCTCTCTCTCTCTGTATATTATCATGAGCTGTCGTAGGCAAAACCCACTTCTTCAGATGAGATGATCTTGCTTCATGCAAAATGTGACATGTAACCTATCATTGAAAATCTTGTAATGTGCTGAATGTGTATATTCTATTTATGAGCAGGTATCATTCCTGCATTTGAAATTTGAAATATGAAGTATAAGCTTGTTTATATATCAAGATGGGCTAATGAAGGGCATTAGCAGTATTCAAGGAATTTAAGAGCCAGATACTCATGACAATGATCTGTGAAATGTCTTGTTTTTTCCTGTAAGCCTAAACTATGATTGGGTCTACCAAGACATGGCCAAGTCATCTGATGCTGGACCCCATTTTGGATGTGGTACTTTTCACAGGAGGGTAAAAGGGTTGAAACTGAACACACAGGATTCCCACCTTGGGCAAAATCTGTTTATAGGCAGGAAACCAAACGATGGGGGGCAGTTGCCAGACACCGACACCCCTTGCTTACCATCCTGATGACCGCTGGAAATATTTAACACTGAGCAGGGGAAGGAACAGGCACAAGTTGGGAGGCTTCTGAGCTTATGAGAAAAGAT